GCTCCTCGGCTCCGCTCGGCTCCGCTCGGCTCGGCTGGGCTCGGCTTCACTCCCCGCTGTTGGGCGGGGAGGGCGGCCGGAGCCCGGGGGAGGGGAGCCGCAAGGACATGGGCTGGCTCTGAGCGCTGGGGGAGGAAAGCCGTCGTGCGTGTGCCTCCGTAGATTTTAATAACTGTTTGTTGTTGGGTGGTGTGGGTTAGTCTTTTTTTTTTTTTTTTTCCCCTCCCCGTTTTCCACACGGCGGAGGGGAGAGCGGCAGCCCCCGGCGCGCTTGCATGGCTTCTGTCGCCCGGGGCGCAGCTGGCAAATAGATCCCGGCTCGGGCCAGGTGACATCGCCCCGGGAGCGACAGGGGCGGGGGCCATGGAGGGACCCTCGGGGGACGCGGAGCTGCCGCTGCTCACGGTGAAGCACGAGCTGAGGAACGGTGAGCGGCGGGCCCGGGGCCGCGCGGGGCCGGGGGGGGGCCGGGGAATAGCGCTGGGCGCGGGGGTCCCGCAGAGTTGGTTGGGACCAGCAGGGAGATCTCGGTGGGGGAAACATAAAAAAGATAGGCTGGAAAATATGGGCAGGAGAGTGTGAGATGGGGGCGGGGTCCCCTTTTTTTATTTCTGAAGAAAGTATAGCACTTGGACTTCTGCTGCCTGCCTGGCTCCGCTGTCCCACTTCCCAGTGGGATTTTACGCTTTTGAAGGAGATAAGGCTTAGCCATTCTCTCTTTAAAACGTTTTTTTAAGACTGTATGTTTGACTTCTATGGCAGTGTTGGCGGGGCGGTTTGTTCCAGTCCTAAATGATGTCGTTTTATGTGACAGCTTTTCTCTGACCTCGGTGAAATGCCGGAATTGTAGGGAGGGGAATGTGCCAACACGTAATCACAGAGTTATCTGGCTTTTCAGTTTATGAATCTTCGTGTAGCTCCGTAATGACTTGACGACTCTCTGGAGAAGTAGTTCAACACGTGAAATATATGTGACCTTTCAAGATACAACAGAAATGCTCTGCTGTAGGTTGTTGTGTTGGGGAAGAGCTTTATTTTTAATAGGGAGTCCCTGCTTCTCCGAAGTTTCCAGGCAACTTGAACACTGCAGTAAATCTATATTTTACTGTTAATTTAGAAATGCGTGTAAAGCACAATCAGTATGTGTATTCTCTGTATTTATTAACAGTGGAGGTGCTGTTAACCCATGTCCTTCATTCCTTTTTTGGCATCTTTTTCTCCATGATGAAGTAAGAATGACCATATGATGCTGTTCACCGCAAAAGTTTGGGAGAGCCGCCCCAGAGGGTTAATGTAGTTGACATTCTCGAATGGGCAGATGTGGAAGGCGGGTCGTGGTGCTGGGTCTCTTCGGTCGCGTTCAGCCTCCTGCTCACCCTGTCCCCCTGTCCTGGGGCTCGGGAGAGCTGTCCCAGAGGAACCCAGCTATCACTGCGGCTTGGGGGGAAAA